CACTCTTCTAGCATCACTGACTTGACTTCTTTTGGGATCACCTTTTGTTTTTTCTACTCTTTGGAAGAGTTGACTATATTCTTAACTCCAAGAATGGGCATGTATAGTCCAAACACAAGCAACTCAACACAAACTGTGATGATGAGGTCTGAGACCATCCTGGGTCCTCATTAGAATCCTCATTAGAGCCAACCACCACTAATTCTGGGAAGTGAGGCTGAAGGAACCCTAAAAGAGAAAGCTCTTTCCCTTTCTATGGATTTGGACTTCAATGGATATAGGTTAAGACGGCTGTGGCCACTGTGACACAGTGAGGAAAATTTTTCAGATACAAGAGCCAGAACAGGAAGCAGAGAAAAGAGACAACAACAATAGCCCCAAAKCAGAAAACAAAAAACTATACCTGATTTCATTATTTGAGACCCTACATCCAATCATACCTAATTATAAAAAAATAATCTTGAACTTCACAGTTGAGTCAATAAATTCTCCTTTGTGTCAACCAGTTCATAATCCTGTGGTTGTCATTTGAACAACAAAAAGGGGAATAATTTATATATCATCAAAATGTTCAATGGCCAGTATTTGGCAGAATGAATTATTTCTTTCTTCTATTTTGTACTCTTTCTCTGCCTTTACTCATATTTTAAATGATCCTTTCTTTAAACCCCTCTAGTGCTTTATATGTAGCATTAAATGGTAGAATTTCAGGGTTAGAGTAGATAAAGAGTAAGGAAATTAATATGTACTGAGATTCTCTGGAAAGGCAAACTGCATATATATAAATGCTTGTTAAAAGTTCAGACACACGAAATTATGTTTAGAATTCCACATTATTGATTGAAATGCTTTTTTCTAACTTTTTTTAGTTGTAGATGGACACAAYACATTTATTTTATTTATTTATATGTGGTGCTGAGGATTGAACCCAAGGCCTCACACACGCCAGGTAAGTGCTCTACCACTGAGCCACAGCCACAGCCCAATTAAGATGCTTTTAAAAGAGATGTCATAGGAAGGAAAAATAGTTTTAAGTTTGGAACTGCATATTATTGTTCCCATTCTGAATGTAAAAATTGAATATTAATGAGAAAATAAATGAAGGATTTTGCAACCTAATGCCTCTTACTCTAGCTAAGGAAAAAAAAAGTAGAAAAAAATAGGAGAAATGTATTACTGCATTTTTATACTCACACACTTTCTGGAAAGCAATTAAATTTCCTTGCCACCTCAGTTTTTAGAAAGCAAAAGGTTAGAAAACACAATAAAATTGAACATAATTTCCAAAAAGTACTGGAAGTCATTGGACTGTGAGATATTTGAAATCATATCAAGAAGCAGGACTTATAGCCCTATGAGTTATGGAAAAGGAAATTGAATTGTGTTTTATTTTTAAAACACAACCACTAAAAAGATGTTTCCATAGTAACAAGGTCAATACCAGTGGCCATTACAGACCTTCCTCTTTTCTGATAGCGGGTTTAAAGATCTTTTTCAAATACCACTTTAAAGGGCCTATGAAAAAACTACAGCTTTTCTGATCATTCATCTGAACCAAAAATGAAGAAATCACGCATGGTGTATTGAATTTCTCATGTTTTATGGATTATAAGCATTCATGGCTGCCATATTTTCAGAAAGAATCTTGCTTGACTAGCCAACCCCTGAACATGGGATTTAATTAGCCTGATCTTAAATAGGGACAAACAGAAGTTGTTTGCAGTAGTATTCAAACAGAAATAAAAGGTGGCACAATATTTAAAAACACACTCCTTTAACATCTAAACATTGAGAGAGTTAAGTAAATAGCCCCTGTTATTAGAAAATTTCAAAGGTTCAGATTAAATATGATATCACTGCTAGAGGAAGATACTGTCCACATTTTGTTTATACTGCTGAATTTAAATAGCTCTTAGTCCACAAAATCAATTTATTTAACACCACCAGGATGTGGACTCTCTTTCCTCTTTTCTCTGTATCAAGCGACACTATTCATCTGATAGTCATTGTATATAGCTTTATCATCTTCATTAAATGTGAGCCCTGGAGAGCAGAGATATTTTACTTTGTGTTCATGATAGTATCTCACATTTCATTTATATATGAAAATACTGAGAGATAGTGGTGAATGAATTGTAAAAAAATAATCACACAACAGCAACTAAGATAACACAAAATCTCTGGTTTGATTTTAGAAATGATGTGTCAGTTGATATACTCATGATTTTAATCTCTTTAAACCAAGAGCTTTTAATCCCTGTAAGCCTAGATCCTTGTTCACAGAATCTTCAACTGTTAAGTAATGAATTCAATTGCCTGTCTCCTAGGTCAGTTCTGTCAGAATCTCTGCAGGTGGGACCTGGAAACGACAGATTTTAAAGCTATTCAGGGGATTCTAATATGAAGCAGAAGTGGAAATTACTGATTTACATTCCGCTTCTGGGGCACAATTAAGGATTAATTTCTTTACTCCCTAATTTAGCTACTTCCCCCCCACCCTTTAATTTTGCCTCAAAGTATTATGTATACCAAATATAGGGCTAGGCCTCAGTGGTAAGAGGGCTCACCTAGCATGTGTGAGCCCCTGGTTTCAATTCCCAGTACCAGAAGAAAAAAAAATCTAAATATATGTCTTCTTGTTGTAATACGATTTGTTCCTTAGAATAATTTTTCACAATAACATGTTTCAATTACAATGATTTGGTTTCATATAATTAAAATTTTAGCCAAATTATTATTTATTATATTCTGTTGAATGCTTTTTGTTGCTATAAATTTAGAATTTGAAAAACAGAGTTGAATACAGAACCAATATAATAGATACTAAATAAATWTCAGTAGAATTGAATATATGCTTTTGAACTCTTATAGCTCTTATAGATGCCTTTCTTGGACCTGTAATGCCTTTTACCCCCCTTATCTATCTAGAAAAATTCCATTTTATCTTTCAAAATTCCCGGATCATATTTTCTTCCTCCCGGAATCTCCCCTAATCTCTTAAACACACTCTCTCTCGGTGTTTCCTCTGCCCCTTTCATGGTTCTATTTGGCACTTATCACGTATTACTTTTATTTATTTTTCTTCTTTGCTTGTTTGTAAAATAAATCCCTTCTCCATAATTGACTGTGAACAGCCTGCATCAGGTACTGATTTATGCCTTTCTACTCTTTTTCTCTCAGAGAATGTTACAGTAACTGGGGACAACAGACACTCAATAGCATTTCACAATCTCTACTGTTAGAGACTGGCTTGAATCCCCTCCAAATTCATGTCAAAGCTCTGACTCTGAGTGTGATGGCATTTGGAAAAGAGGACTTTGGGGGCAGTCAGGGTTAGATGTGGCCATGAGAGCTGGCCTTCATGATGGCATTAACCCCCTCATTAGCAGAGGCCACAGTGAACTTGTTCTTTCTCTCTGCCGTGTGAGAACAGAGAAGAGGAGGAAGACCCTCACCAGATTCCAAACTCATTGGATCTGATCTCTGACTTCTGCCCTCTGTTTAGGGAACTCATTCTATGGTGTTTTGTGATGGTCTGGCCTAACTAACACGACTATGAATCAGGATTAAGTAATTTGAAGAGAAAGTTAATATCAACATGACTGAGAGTTACACTTTCTTTAAGTTTTCTAAAAGATAAGCATTTTATTTTGTAAAGCAAAGGCCATATTAAATATAATTGGACTATATATTTAATACTTTCTTCCAAATAAACTTGAGGTTTATTGTTGTTGTTGTTGCATTTTTCTGGTAGACTAAGAATTTTTTCATAAATACATACAGTTGAAATGAAGTAATTTTGCAGAGCAACAATCAGTCCAATTACCTTGTGGCCTGCATTATCAATTAGRGCTAGTCAGCAGGTATTCTTTTCATTTTTTGTCATAGATACCACTCATTGAAGACTCAGTGCCCCTTGCAGTGCAGTGCTTCAGACATTATGTCTTAAATTTTTTTTTTACTTTGCCTGGTTTGGTGCAGACAGAATATTTAAGGTATCATGAAAACTCCCTAATGTATTATTTATTCATTCAATAAATATTTATTATGCATTGTAGAAATCCAACTCTGTTTAAAGTCTATTTTAGTTGGTTTAGTTTAAGTTATGTGGCCCTTACCTAGTGAAYCTGTCCTGTAAGTAAAGCATAAAAACTGTAGCTTAGGTTAGCAGTCACACACTTGAATTTTATGGATGAATAACATTTTTAACATTTGGGGAACTAATAGCAGTGYGCCAATATTTTACTTGACCAAATAATAACATTTAAAACAAATACCACTGCCAACTATCACCATTAACAAATGATGGAGCATTTATTTTTATTTTATTTTATTTTTATTTTCTAGTACTAGGGATTGAACCCAGGGGTGCTTAACCTCTGAGCAACACCCCCATCCCTTTTTATTTTGAGACAGTSTCACTAAGTTACTTAGAGCCTTGCTAAGTTGCTGAAGCTGCCCTCAAACTTGTGCACCTCCTACTTCAGCCATCCAAGTCACTGGAATTACAGGTGTGTGCTGCCATGCCTCACTGATGGAGCATTTTAACACAAAATAATTAAAGAACATAACCTTAGAAGAGAATAAAAGGCAGTCTTGAAAATGACTACATTTAACTTAATAGGGTAAAACACTATATTCTTTATTCTCATTTTGGCTTAGACTGCCAAAACTTTGTTAAAAATAAATCCATGTATACATTGTTCCTGTTTTCCATCATTCAAAATCCCTTTCTTATTCAAATTCTTAGGACTGGTCACTAAAATCTTCAGTAAATTTGTTTTAACCCCTTCAGCCTTGTAGGGTTCAACTGAATAATGCATGTTTACTTGTCTATACTTATTTTCTGTTAGTTTTTCAAACACTAAAGATAAATGGTGTTTCTGTTTATTTCTATATTTTCTTCATGTTTCTGATTATATTTCTGCATTGATAATATATCATTTAAACATCTATGTAAAGGCTATAAATCAAATACTAACAAATGTAACAAGACTTACATGTGTGGACCCAGTGAAATTGCCCTTGTCATTACAATTCCAAGAATTACAACTGTTAAAATTGTAGAAATAAAGGAGATCTGCAAAGAAAAATGTAAAGATTGTTAGTGTAGCATACAGATTATTTATTTTTAAAATATTGCATCTTTTTCCTTTTTACTTGGGTAAACTAATGCAGTTTCTTTTTTTTTAAGTCTAATTATTTAGTCATGTATATTCTTATATGCTAGTGTTGTTAACCTCGGGCATGTAACTTCTTATCAAATCACAGTTTGCTCCCTCACCTCCAAATAGATATTCAAGTACCAAATATGACTATTGTTATAATTTTGCAACATGGCTTTAAACATTTTCAGTGGCTTTCTACATAAAATATAAAATTGTACTTTTTTTTCTTCAGTTTCTCGGTCTGTTCTGCTCCTTTGTTTTTGTCACTATTTTAACTGATTAAAATATCAACTGCTAAGAACAGAGCAGAGAGGAAGAGCATGAGAAAAAGATTAACATAAAACAGGGAGGAGAGATGGGAGGGAAAGGGAGAGAGAAGGGAAATTGCATGGAAATGGAAGGAGACCCTCACTGTTATACAAAATTATATATAAGAGGATGTGAGAGGAAAGGAAAAACAAAACAAAACAAAACAAGGGAGAGCAATGAATTACAGTAGATGGGGTAGAGAGAGAAGATGGGAGGGGAGGGGAGGGGAGGGGAGGGGGGATAGTAGAGGACAGGAAAGGTAGCAGAATACAAAGTCACTAGTATGGCAATATGTAAAAACGAGGATGTGTAACCGATGTGATACTGCAATCTGTATACGGGGTAAAAATGGGAGTTCATAACCCACTTGAATCTAATGTATGAAAGATGATATGTCAAGAGCTTTGTAATGTTTTGAACAACCAATAAAAAAATTTAAAAAAATATCAACTGCTCTGTATGTATATCTGTTTATTGCAACAAAACTGTAGATGTCTTAATAGGAGYTATTTGGCTTAAGGCTGTATATTGTTTGCATTGGATATTGTTATTATTTGTCTTTCGCTTAAGGGACAGGTACTGGAGACCTTCAGGGACCCTATGGGTTTACAGGATAGAAACTGTATTGCCTCAAATCCACACTGCTAGATGTATAGACACACAAACAACATGGAAAAACAAGAGAACAAATTGCCCTACACAAACCAAGATGCTCCAATAATAGAATCCATTGACACTGCAGTAGAAGAAATGTCAGAGGTGTTTAGAATGTACATAGTTAAACTGATCTACAATGTAAAGGATGATATAAGGAGTGAAATCAGAGATAATATTAGGAGATGAAAGATCACTACAATAGATTCTAAAAAGAAATCAAGCAGAAATCCTCAAAATGAAGGGGCAATAAACATCATTGGAGAAAAGATAGCCTATCCAAGAAATAATGCTAGGAAAACTGGAATCCACATGTAACAAAATAAAATTAAATCCCTATCTCTCACCCTGAACAAAACTCAACTCAAAGTAGATCAAAGACTTAGGCACTAGAACAGAGACCCTATGCCTAATAGAAGAAAAAATAGGCTCAAATCTTCATCGTATCAGCTTAGGAACTGACTTCCTTAACAAGACTCCTAAAGAGCAAGAAATAAAATCAAGAATCAATAAATGGGATGGATTCAAACTAAGAAGCTTCTTTTCAGCAAAAAACAAACAAACAAACAAAAAAAAACAATCAAGATCGTGAAGAAAGAGCCTGCAGAATGGGAGAAAATCTTTACCACCTGCACCTCAGATAGAGCATTAATCTCCAGGATATATAAAGAACTCAAAAAACTTAACACCCCCCCCCAAAAAAAATAATAACCCAATCRATAAATGGGCTAAGGAACTGAACAAACACTTCACAAAAGAAGAAATGCAATTGATCAGCAAACATATGAAAAATTGTTCAATATTTCTAGCAATTACAGAAATGCAAATCAAAACTACTCTAAGATTTCATCTCACTCCAGGCAGAATGGCAATTATCAAGAATACAAGCAAGCAACAATAAATGTTGGCAAGGATGTGGGGGGGGGGAAGGTATACTCACACATTGCTGGTGGGACTGCAAATTGGTGCAACCATTATGGAAGGCAGTATAAAGATTCCTCAGAAAACTTGAAATGAAATCACAATTTGACCCAGCTATTCCACTCCTTGATTTATACTCAAAGGACTTAAAATCAGCATAGTACAGTGACGTAGCCATGTTAATGTTTATAGCAGCTCAACTCACAATAGCTGAACTATGAAACCAGTCTAGGTGTCCTTCAACAGATGAATGGGCAAGGAAAATGTGGTATATATACACAATGAATTATTATTATTATTATTATTATTTGTTTTTGTTTTTTTTATTGGTTGTTCAAAACATTACATAACTCATGACATA